TAGCCACAAAGAATATCAAATAAGTTTATGGAAATGTTTTAAACGTTCTTAAGTGTCAATGATGGTTCAGCAAATTTCATCCAGGTGACTTTAGCCTTAAAAGTTGTGATGGCAGGGGTCGACATATTGGAATTGATATCAATGCTCTGAAGACGCTTGTCGAGTTTAACCTAAGGCAACACACTCGTGAAATTGACCTGAAATTGCATGTCTCTCATGAAACAATGCGTAAACATCTAAGAAATATGGGAAAACCCCTTAATGAAGGTGTTTGGGTCCCTCACGAACTCTTCGATGATCATCGTTTCCTACGTGTGAACGTTGCTTCGTCTCTTCTAGCGCGTGAACCATTTTTGGATAGAATTGTCACCGGTGATGAAAAATGGATTCTCTATGTGAATATTAAACGCCAAAAACAATGGCTCAGCCCTAGAAAAAAACCACTTCCGACCCCAAAATCTCGACTCCATCTGCAGAAAGTGTGCTTTGCATTTGGTCGGATATCAAAGGAGTAATTCATTTCGAACTCCTCAATCCACAGCGAACTGTCAATGCAGAGATCTGTAGACAGCAACTGGAACGTTTAAATCAAGCCCTTCATCAGAAACGCCCTTCACTCGTCGATCGGAAAGGTATTCTTCTCTAAGACAATGCACGCCCAAATGTGGCACGTTTGACGCAACACAAGATTATGGAGTTGAGTTGGGAAGTTCTCCCACCACCACCACCACCATATTCTCAAGCTATGGCACCATCAGATTACCATTTTTTCGTTCACTGCAACACCATCTTAATGAGAAAACGTATGTAAATGTGGAAGGTGTTAAAGAGGATATCGACATGTTTTTTTGTTTCAAAGCCAAGTGATTTCTTTAATCAGGGAATTATCAACCTGATTGTAAGATGGAAAAGTATCATCAATAAGAATGAAGACTCTTTCATTTAATAAATGTTTTGTTTTGTTCGGGTTTTTTAATCTAAAAACAGCGAAACTAATTTCTTGACGACCTAATAACTGCTGCAATTCAAATGAAACAGAATTCAATATGTGTTAGAGGTAAAAGTTTCTCTTTAAACATCTTTGTTTGTCAGCTGACTTCCACAGTATATTGTATGGAGAACCAAATAATAATCAATATCCGTTTTCTTTGAAGTTTAATTTTCTCAGTAAAACTACCGTTTCATTTTCTTGTTCTGGACTCTCGAGTCACTTTTCACATTTTTCTGACCTTGTCTGGCACCGACTATAAACATGCATGTAATATTCTTTACCTTCTATACAAATGACACCTTAAAACTATATTTTTATAACAGCTGCGCCCTCATTTCCAAAATCTAACTGCAGCTTCATTAAAGTTAATGGAATAAAGTTCACGTGTTTTGAAAATCTTACTGCAGCTTCATTAAAAAATAATAGAAAATACTTCAAGTGAATTAGTTGTTGTTGTTTGTTACACTATATATATATACGAAAACGTAATAAGAAAATAAAAATTGATAATTGTGTCATGAAAACGTGGTATTTTTTTTACAAATGCACGTTCTTTCATGGTTAATGTTTTGTTTGTAATTTATTATTCATCGGATCTCCCAATTTTTGTACATGTGTGTTTATGCAATTTACTGGTTTGCTTTCTTATACTTGCTGGGCTAATCTGTGAAGTGTAGAAATGATTATATAAATGGATTCTCTACATATCCCTCCCTACATCCAGTGTCAAAAGGAAGACATGGAGATTATGTGGGAAGAGATGAATGAAAGCAACAAACGTCACTACGAACAATTTTTCAAGGAATGGAGACGAAGAATGCAAGATTCACTGAGAAAAGAAAACATCGTTTCTAGGAAATTGCTGAAGATTTTTCTTGTTGATCTGGAGGATGCTTTGTTTTCCAAAAATCCACAAGATCAATACGTGAGCGTCACGGACCCATTTCGAACAGTGTTAAGGATACTAAAGATCCTGCCAAGTTGTTTCCGGCACAAAGTCGTTCGACTACTTACAGGTGAAAACAAGAACACTCGAAAAAAAACTCTTAAGAACGATTAGAGTTTATTTTTTATATCCTTTTTTCTTGTATTTTACTCAGTGCTACAAATTACTTTAAAATACTCAATTTAATTTTATAGTTTATCTAATTAAACGTTTTTCTTTTAATTTTTAGTTAACTGTGTTTTATTGCAACACCGATTTTTTTGGATTACATCAAGGAAATAAATCAATTGTCATTTGATATTTTTAATTCCATTCATTTTGTTTCATTGACATGATGTAATGTGTTTTAGTTGGGTGCTGGTTGGCCTTATAGTAGTAGAGCTCTGAATACTTGAAGTGAGAAACCTATTTTGAAGCCTTGTGATATTGTATGAGTGTGTATAAGAGTGACATTCAATATTTTAGCGTGGATAATGGCTGTTAGGGTGCTGCTGGCTGGCTTCCTTCCATCTTGACAGTAGTTCAAAATTAGAAGGTAGCGGATTGTATTTATGTTTCTGACAAAGCTACTAAGACTAAGTTTCTCTATTTGTTCACGTTAGAAAGCTAAAATTATTCTTATTCAACCAATACCTTAAGTCGGGTGTTTCATGAAGCTACAACTTCAAAGGTGGTGTTTACAAAATACCATCCGTATTTCTCAACTAAATATCTTTTATTGCACAGCTGTTGAAAGGTATGAAACAACTGGTTTACCATTTAATTTTTTCCTAAACACTAGGTTTTTGTCTGCAAGTATGTTCGGGATTACTTTATCTCACTTATGAAAAAGTTGTTGGTCGATTTTGGTGAAATCTATATTTTGTATATTCAAAACTAAATCATTTTCTAAAGCAGTTGCCCATAACAATATTTATCAGTGTTTTGAATGTATTTTTGCATAACACTGCAATACTATCGTCATTACTATAATAATTAAACTGTCGAAAGGCCTTAAAATAGACGTTTTTTTATTAGTAAATGTCAGGTAATTTGTAGAAATCAATAACTAAAAACTAAGAGGTTTGAGAACACCACAGGAATTTATGATCATTAGGATACCTCGTTAATTTCTCAACCAATCTTTTTTTTTTTTTTTGAAAACGCAAATATAATTTCACTACTATTTCATGGTATATTCATCGACAGCGTAAAATGTCTTTTCTAAAGCACTATCTTTAACTATTCTATAAAATTGAATGCCTTATGATTTAAAAATATCAAACCAATGAAAGATGCAAACACTTCATTACCTGTTTATTTTTACATTGCATTTACCTTGACTTCAAAATGCATTAATAAATGATTATATGTATATTGAATATTGATTCGGTAAGTTTGATCTATTTATAATATAAAAATAACGAAAGAGAGTAATTTTGTTGATTAATACAGCATTTCTTCGTCAACGAGAGGCGAAAAAAGAGTTTTAGGGAGGCATGGCAAGGAACAAGACATTTCTGTAATTATGCTTTGTAGATGTTCCATACACCATACACCGTTAGGAAGTTCAAACTTTGCTGTATTCAAATATGCAATTTCTATGATACTAATATATTTAATTCGGGAGTTATAAGCAGTCAAAAAGGTACAGGGTTTCGGAGTGGCTGCACAATCTTACTAGCAACGGTCCTACACAGGAATTAATTCCCAAATCAAATTATGCGACCATTCTTCATTGCCTATTTGAATTGTCTTGAATTTCTGATTAAGCGGAAGGATATTACTACTATCGCTAATGTTTTTCTCAGCACCAAACACTATTTTTGAATGCCACCACAACATCTTTGGGATCGATAAATAGGTTTCCTTTAACAAGGGCTGTCAAAAAGTCCATCGTGATCGCATCCACAGCGGCTGCACAAGTTGCAAGCCAAATGTAGGTAATCTAGAGAATATATATTGATTGGTAGTTACATGCCGAAGAGTAGCACAGTTCCAGTCATGGTCAACTGGGTTTGGAGCTGTCTGCTGAAGATCAGTATAAATGTTAATTGGTGGTTACATGCCGAAGAGTAGCACAGTTCCAGTTACGCTCATCTGGGTTTGGAGCTGTCTGCTGAAAATCAGTATAAATACTGATTGGTGGCTACATGCTGAAGAGTAACACAGTTCCAGTTATCTGGATTTGGAACTGTCTGCTGAAGATCAGTATAAATATTGATTGGTGGCTACATACCGAAGAGTAGCACAGTTCCAGTTACGCTCATCTGGGTTTGGACCTGTCTGCTGAAGATCAGTATAAATGTTAATTGGTGGTTACATGCCGAAGAGTAACACAGTTACAATTATGGTCATCTGGGTTTGGAGCTGTCTGCTGAAGATCAGTATAAATGTTAATTGGTGGTTACATGCCGAAGAGTAACACAGTTTCAGTTATGGTCATCTGGGTTTGGAGCTGTCTGTTGAAGATCAGTTGAGCTCTTGTTTGTAAAACACATGTAACGATGGACGGACCCGTCAGTTACTCAACAAGAAGTACTGTCATCAACTGATGATATGGTCAGATATAACTAGATTAAATTTTGTCTGATTTATAAATTGTGAATTGTAATCGTTCCACGTCATAGTTTGCTACATTCTATATACGTTTGACCACAATCGGATAAATTCCGTAATTTATTCATCCGATCCCTGCTATCGAGACACTTTCTGTGTGCAAATTTCAGCTTCAACTTTCAGCCTTGGGGGCGCTATAATGTGACGGTCAATCCTACTATTCTTGCTCTCCCCCAGTGACTCAACGTTCAGTCTGAAGGCTTATAACGCTTAAAACCGGATTTTGATATCAGTGGTGGGCACAGCACAGATAGCCCATTGTGTAGCTTTGTGCTTAACTACAAAAAAACAAATACACTATGCGTTGATAAAGAGTAGCTCGAGAGTTGGTGGTGGGTGCCTTCCATCTTCTAAATTAGGGACGGCTAGCGCAGATAGCTCTCGAGTAGCTTTCACAAAATTCATAAAACAAACTGTTTTCTCATTAGTTTTGTCGTATGTAAACCCAAATTAACTTCATGATGCAATGCACGTTAAATTGTTCACACCCTTCGGATATTTTGTAGAATATTTGTTAGTGCTGCCGCTGTTTGTCTTCAAGGCTTAAATAAGTTTTTTTATAGGTTTTCTTTTATTAAACAACTTCATCTGTGTTGGCACTTCTAGACCTGTAAACTGAAAAATTATACACAGAACGTGGAATTTTTATAGAATCTGAAAAACTTTGTTTGATTAGAGCAAAGCCACGTTAGGCTATCTGCTGTGTCCACCGCAGGGAATCGAACTCCGATTTTTAGCGTAGTAAGTCCGAAGACTTACTGCTGTCTCACCATTGGGACCTGAAAACTTGTAAAACGAAGTATAATTTAAGAAAATTGCATAGATGTCGAAGAAAGTGTTGAGTAAAAATGATTTTATTGATTATAAAGTTAAAATAACTGAATCACACTTTTTAGATGTATTCAAAGTTGTATTTACACAAGCTAATGAAAATTATTGTTAATTTTGTTTGTTTTATTTTTATATTTTTGTCGTGATATAAGTACATAGAAACCGTTCATCGCTGCTATAGCCATACAAATTTGCAAAATATTTACGTACAGATCAGCCAGTCTCAAGGTTTGATGTTTCTACATGTTAGGCTATATTAGAATTGATTTTTTAACTTTAATTTGTGGGCAAAACTATATTATTTCATATTAGTTTTCTCAGTTTTCATATTTATAGGTGTAAAATATTTTTTTAACAATAGCGAAACTTAAATTCGAGTGAGCAATTATGATTTTTTTTGTAAATATAATACTTTGATTGTTAATCTTTTCTTTGTCTTCTCGAATGCTCATAACTAAAATTTCATCAGAGATCGTTAGGGTTCGGTATGTGCTGCTATCTAGTGAGTACAATTAAAACTTTAAAGTGTTTTTTCAAGTTTTAGTTTTTTCACATATGCACGTATTTTAAATGGCCCTGAAACAACTTTGATCAAATATCTGAAAGCTAAAGAATAAATGTTCCAAGGAAAACATTAGACACTGAAATAAACATTATATTTCACGAGTATCACGGTATGTTTGCGAAATTTTTTCACATATGAAAAAAGAATATAACAAAACACTTAACTGCAAGATAAACATACATTTGTAAATTCAAGGTTAAAATTACTGTGGATGATGCGCCCCCTTTTCTTGTTTGTATTAACTAAAAGAGAAGGAAACGAGTTAGATTCCTGCCGTAAACGAGCAGTACCATTTATACATACAATCAGTTTCAGTTCTATGTAGCCCCCCAGTGGCACAGTGGTATGTCTGCGGACTT